AAAATTTTATTCAATGATTTCGATATTCACTTTGGTTGTTCTTATTATTTCGAACACGTCTGTATCATCTAAAATTAATCGAGATAGACATTGGGTTACGAATATATGTATGTAGTATATATAAGAATTGATTAGGATGACGAGACGAGTTGAAATCCGTGCAAGTTATTGAGATATGTATGTCGATGAAAGTTGGAATATGCGTTCCTTAGTAAAAAAGGTATGAGCTCGTTCATAGATGGACGTAATCAGCCCAATCGGGACTTTACATTTTTGTCTGGTATTCAATTAATTAAATGCATTTGCTAATAATAGCTACTAAATAAAATGCTACTGTGGCAGAAAAATTTGTACCAGACAGAAAAGTTGACATTTTTGTCGTTCCAAGACCATACTCTCCCATTAGATTCTAAACGATTTATTTTATTTTATATAATTAGCCTATCTATTTGAGCCAATACCACATACAATTAGCATGCGACATTCAAAATTAATGCTCTCTGAGTTTGACTAAGGTTCTTCACATGCCACCACCGATTAACATGGAGTAAAGTCAGCCAAATGTTCGAAAATTCGAATGATTGTTGAAGTCCGATTAGGAATATCAAAAAAATTTTATGTACCAAATTTGATTGAGAGCGTTCGGGTAGGTCTCTATTTACATTTAAATGTATTAAGGTAAGGTACTGCTCATAGTCTAAATTTGATACGAGTTCATATAAAGCCTTCTCCTACCATCTGGAGTGTAAAATTGAATGTCTCTGACGCAGTCATTTACTAATTTATCGCCCTTTTAGTAGTTTTTAAGAAACCCAATATGTGGTTTTGTCCTATGTAAATTTAGGTGATATATGTATGTATGTACATAGGTTATTTGTATTTATTGATAAGTACCACTTTTCAAAGGTTTTCAAATCGCAGGTGCCCCTCATTTTTGGGATCCAGTTTTCACGGGCAGGCAGTCTCTTGGATTTCAACTCGTTTCCTCATTGTGATCATTTATGTATATATAACCATATATGTATATATGTATGTATATCTCCTTTAGATTTATGCGATACATGCAACTGTAAAGTGAACAAAACTACTATACTTGTACTCTGTAGTAACATGTTGCAAGAATATAAAAATTTAACTTTAATTAACACTTTGGTGGTATACTCTCTGTATATATGTACATACATTTATGTATGTACATAACAATATTCATATTCAATTTTGAAACAATCTTTGGAGGATACTGGTTTTTCCGACAGTTCCAACACATTCACAAAAGATGTGCAAATTTCATACGTTTTGCCAAACGTTAAATTGAAGCGCTTATTTCACGACAGTGAACTGTAAATGGCGTCGTGAATCCTTCTACATGAACATTTGCAAGAAGACAGTGACATAATAATGGCCGGCATGTGCTCAAAACAACACAGCTGTCCATTTTGTATGTACACAATTTCGCTGTGGACATACTAATACCTTTCACTTCAATGAAATTTTAATATTTTGTTCAAAGTGAAATTTTCTCTGCAGAAAATAAGTACATAGGTAAATTTAGTTGTTTTAAATTATCAATTGTTATTACAAATGATATAACAGAGCTATTTTATGCTTTTATTTGTAAAAAAAACGTCAGGTTTGTTAGAGCTTTGAAGAAGCTGTCGTCCTACTGTCGTTGGCAAATATAAGAATATTTTGAAGTAAGCGAGAGCGACAACTGTCGGCCTACAGTCGTGTAGTCGGCAGCTGTCTAAATAACTGCGTCCTTTAGAACATGTGTATATTAATATTTGGCAGATGTCGTTTGCAGTCTGTCGGCTCTATGTGTTAAGCACTTACGCAAAAAAATCATGTACATATGTAAATAAATATTTACGAATTAATGCCAATATATTTTGTAACTTATATGTTTCGCATAGATTTTCTAGGTTAGCAACCACCTATCAGTTAAGTACTTTTACCGTGCGATTCTGTACTGTGATATGGTTTCAAGTCTCTAAATTTGAAATTTTCAGTTAGAGACAATTTTTCAGAGTTGAGACGATTTTGCGATTTTGTGACAGGCACAAAATCAATTACATTTCATTATTCAGAGATTTTTTACACTTGATTGAAAATAAATATGTCGATAACAAATATTAAATTTTCTATAACATAGTCAAAAAACATAATTATCAATAAAAATAAACCAAATCCTTCACAGGTGCATTTCTTTTGGTAACGATGTGTTCAGTTTTAATGAAAGCTATAAGCTATAGCAATCCGATCTGAACAATTTTGGAGGAGAGTATATTATTAC